AGATATGCCCGGATGTCAGTCATCCAGGCGACGTGACGAGGGGGGTTGGGGTCGATCCCCTCGGGCCCCGAGGCCCGCAGGCTGTCGGGGCTCGGGGCGGAGGTCGTGGCGCCGGGGTCCCTCGGGGGGTCCAAATGTGCCGACGGCTGCACGAGCCTTTCCTCGAAGGTCCCCGGAGGGAGTGGGGCTCGCGCCGACATGATATGCGACAACTCATCAGCGATTGCATCGTCGCGTCGGGGCACGTGCTGGAGCTCGAGTCCGTCGAAGTGGCGTTCCATACGTCGTACTTCACGGACGTATGCATCCATTTGCGGGTCGGTGCACTGGTACTCCTTAGAGTCCTGATTCACGACCAACTAGGAATCACCTAGGACTAGGAGGCGGCGGATGCCCATTCCGGCCGCCGCCCTCAACCCCGCGAGGAGTCCTTCGTACTCTGCCATATTGCTCGTGGCTCGGAAATCGAGCCGAACGACGTACTTGAGGACATCCCTGGTTGGCGAAGTTAGCGTGACTCCAGCCCCCACACCACGAAGGTTGAGGGAGCCGTCGAAGTGCATAACCCAGTGCCCGGCGCGAATGTCGGCGCTCGGGTCTCCACCGTCTCCGGGGAGGGAGGGAAGATCGGACGGAAGAGGGTCATCCACCGGTGTCCATTCTACGACGAAGTCATCCAGAACCTAGCTTTTGATCGCGTGTCGCGGTTTGAAGTGCAGGTCGAACTTAGCAAGCACGATGGCCCACTTCACGACCCGACCGGTGCCCTCTCGGTTGTGCAAGATTTGGCCAAGAGGGTAAGACGTTACGACGGAAACCCGATGCGCTTGGAAGTAATGTCGCAACTTCCTTGAGGCCATTAAGACTGTGTAAAGCATCTTCTGTGCCTATGGGTATCGGGTTTTCGCGTCTCGGAGTGCCTTACTGACAAAGTAGATGGGCCGCTGCACCTTTCGGTGGGGCCGGTCCTTGCTGTCAGGGGCAACTGGCCCGAGGCGCCCGAGCTTAGTGGCCCCGGGGGGATCCCGGACTAGTTCGGGATGACAGGCCTCGGGGGCAACCGTCAGAGCCTCTCACCCTCCCACGGGGGCCTCGGGGCCCTCCCGGGGGTCGGGGGCTTCGGGCACCGGGCCGTCCGGGAACGAGGGGCCATGCAACATCCTCAAATTTTAAACTGCATCATGCTGGCTTTTGATTAAATTAGTGTATTTTAAAAATCTATTTGATTCTTAATTTGGTTCAAGTATTACTTCTTTAGAACCCTACTAACTTACTCTAATTATTCCCTTTATTCCAAACCTTAGTGAATTTGAGCAAATTCTCTCAAATTTCAAACTATAGATTATTTCCTTAGCTTACCCTAATATTAGTGAGGATTTACTTTACTCCAAACCCTAGTGAAACCTATCCAAATTGATAGTTTAAATTCAAATCTTTTCTAGGGAAATATTCAAAAATTCTGAAATTCACTGTTCATCGCACACAAGGTGCTCGATGAAATGCCCAGCCCAGCTAGAGCAGCCTAACCACTACCCAATCTTGTGCAAAGTTTAGATTTGATCCTAGGGGTCAACATCCCACTCAAAAACCGTGGTTTAGTTGGCCTTCTCCTCCCCCTTGCGCGCGCCGCTCTGGCATCCGACTTTGCCGCGGGCCGAGCCGTCACGCGTCGGTCTCCGGATCGATCGCACATGCCCAACCGCCTTGGCGCGCTATCACTCGTCCGACGCCCTCAGACCGTCATCACCGCACCAATCTTGACGACGACAAAGCCGGGACGACGACCGCTGCAAGAAATCGCCGCTCGACGCCGTGCGCGCTCGTCCAAAGCCGCCGCCGAGTGTGATTTCGCTTCTACCCGGGGTGAATCGCGCCAATTCTTGCTGCACGGTTGGATTGAAGATAGACAGTGGTTTTCCCTCTCACAATTCAAACCATTCACCCCCGAGTCGGCCGTTTTCACCCTCGCCGCCGCCGCGCGTCGCGCCCGGATTGGCGCCAACACGTCGCCAGCCGAATTAATCCACGCCTTGCCAAAGGTTGGCAAGCTGCCGGAATTCATCTAGGTACCTCGTAGATGCTCTAGAACCCCTCCTCTAGCCATGTCTAACTCATATCATCTTGATCACCATCACGGCCTAAACATGCCACCGCCGCCCTAGCCGCTAGGCCATCCACATATCAAATTAATCCCTCTGCCGTCGCTCGCCGTCGCCGGAGAACCCTAGCTCCCTCCCCTCCTCGGCCGCAACCACTTTCCCCCTCCATCACCGCTGTAATCGCCAACCCTAGCGCCGCCAGCCGCTTTTGGGGATCGGCCGGAGGTAGAAGAAGAGAAGAGAGAGAGACTGACAGGTGGGACCCGCACACAGTGCCATTTCACATTTATTTGATTTTCAAACTTTAGAAGCCCATATCTTTTAAAATATAGATCCAATTCCAGTGAAACTTGGACCAATATTCTTCTAAAATCATTCTCTATCTTTTGAGCCCCTTTTTGCTATTTTTGCATTTTATTTTATTTTCTCTATTTTTCATATTTTTGGATTTTATTTGAATTCCTTTTGAATTTCAATTTTATATATGTCTAACCCTAGGTCTTGAGGATTCTTCTGACTCAATAGATAATATCAATCAATCTCAGGACATCGAGCAAGGCAAGTTACCATATACCTTTTGATCATTTAAGCCTATATTTTATAAATTATTTATTTATAGCCTTATATTCAATATTCTATTTTCCATGCATAAATTAATCATAGAAACCCATATAATTTAGTATTGCTTACTTTGCTTACAATCTGGTTAAAATACCTTATACTTAGATTGGGACAGTACGTAAGATTTGGTTGACTTCCGGGTGGCTAGTACTGTCTCGATCGATATAAGTTTTACCAGGTACTTATGTCGAATGAACGGGTATGACCGCAATTTCTAGAATGGGGACAAACCTAGTTATTATGTTAATTAGCAATATGGCACCTCTGTATAGTGGTTCTTATTTTTAAGTCCTCGCACAGGAGGCAACTATAGCCGCGAAGGGCAACTTTAACCATTACCATGTACAGGTAAATGGTTTGTGATACTCGAGTATAAACTATATGGTATATTTCTAAACCCTGATCGAGATGATGTGGTGTCATACGATCAGTTCCCCTTAAATATCTCGGGAACGCCAGAACTCCTCTTGTTGCTGTTAACAATACGTTCAGAGCATATGAGGATATAAGTTCATGGAACAGGTGCCATAATTTTTAATGACTTAATAATGGGCCATGACTAAAGCCGATGATTATCAGCAAGTCGTGGACTGCGGGTAAAGCGTACATCTGCTGCAGTAGAATATTTTTGAAACTATTCGAATAGCCGTACTCATGGAGTTGAGTACCGGGACTCATATGGTACCCTGGTTAGAAATCTAAAGTCTATATGTTTTATAAATTCTTGCTATAACTCTTCCAGATTGTCTAGTACTGCTTTTTGTAAAGAACCCTAATATATGTCAATGCATAACATATTTCCATGATAACTTGCTGAGTATTGTGAATACTCATCCTTACTCTTATAACCCCTTTTTCAGATTTGGGTCAAGAGAAGGACCCTTATGACTATTACTACGATGACCCCGATAACTTAGAGAATCCTTAAAGGTTATACCTTCCTAGTCAGAATGTATAGAAACTTCCGCTGTGTATTAATTAGCTAGGTGAGTACCTATTATTGTAAAACCCTTAGTATTGTAAAACTTTAACATATGCAATGAAGAACCAGTTATATTGTATGTATCAATATTTACTGATCCAGGGATTGGTACATTATCTTAGTCGGATCCAAGTTGTTAGTTCTAAGCTCCGATAGGCCATCACCAGTCAAGGGGGCCCCTGGTCCCTTCCCATAGCCGGGTTCGCAATGCGGGTCACCCTCATCGCGTTCAACTACAAGGGCGGCACTCACCGCGTGGGGGGTCGCAGCCAAGTAGAGCAGCAACGGTTCCTCTGGCCCTGGGGCTACTAGGATGGGGGGGAGGTGAGGTAAGCTTTCAGCTGATTGAGAGCTTGCTCTGCTTCCTCCGTCCACACAAACGGCCCGGGGCGCTTGAGGAGTTTGAATAGGGATAGCACCCTCTCTCCCAGCCTCGATATGAATCGACTTAGGGCGGCCATGCATCTAGTGACGCACTGCACATCCCTAAGCTTCCTGGGGGGGCGCATCCTCTCTATCGCGCGTATTTTCTCGGGATTAGCTTCTATGCCTCGGGAGGAGACTAGAAAACTAAGGAGTTTGCCCGCCGGCACACCGAACACACACTTGTCGGGGTTCAGTTTCATGCGTGTGGACCTAAGACTGTCAAAAGTCTCGGCCAAATCCTACAACAACGTGTCCTGGTGGCGCGTCTTTACCACCAGGTCATCAACATACACCTCTATATTGCGCCCTATCTGATTACTTAAAGTAATACGAGTCATACGCTGAAAAGTAGGGCCTGCATTCTTTAAACCAAAAGGCATAGTTGAATAACAAAAAGTGCCCACGGGAGTAATGAAGACAGTTTTTTCCTCATCTTCCCTAGCCATGCGGATCTGGTGATACCCAGAGTAGGCATCTAGAAAACACAAAAGGTCGCACCCCGTAGTGGAGTCGACTATCTGATCTATGTGTGGTAAAGGGAAGGGATCCTTAGGGCATGCCTTGTTGAGGTCTGTGTAGTCGATGCACATCCGGAGCTTGCCGTTGGCCTTCGGGACAACCACCGGGTTTGCCAGCCACTCCGGATGGATAACCTAGCGGATGAAGCCAGCCTCCAGGAGCCGCGCCACCTCCTCTCGGATGAAGGCTTGCCGCTCCGGGGCTTGACGTCGCACTTTTTGCCGGATGGGTTGCGCGTCCGGCCGCACGGCGAGGCGATGCTCGATCACCTCCCTGGTTACCCCGGGCATGTCCGACGGCTTCTATGTGAAGACGTCGGAGTTTGCCCGCAGGAAGGAGACGAGCGCGCTTTCCTATTTGGCGTCCAGGGTCCCGCCAATTTTGGCGGTCTTGGACGGATCATCGCCAAGGGGGATCTCCTTGACGGGCACCTCATCAGCCAAGGTGAGGCGCTTCTTGGAAGCGCGGGACGCGGAGGCCACCGGGGCCTGCGGCTCCATGGCCACCGCCAGGTTGTTGGCGTGCTGCTCCGCGCAGGCGAGGGCGACCTTGACATCGCCAAAGACGGTGATGGGGCCACTAAGGCCCGGCATCTTCATCTGGAGATAGGCATAGTGGGTGGCGGCCATGAACTTCAGCAACGCAGGCCTGCCCAGGACCGCGTTGTAGAGCAGATTGAGGTCCGCCACGTCGAAGTCGATCCGCTCGGTACGGAAGTTGGTGGAGTCACCGAAGGTTACTAGGAGCTCAACGTGGCCGAGAGGCCACGTGTGCCCCAGAGTCACACCGATGATCGGCAGCGATGGCTAGAGCTTCATCCCCGGGGCCTTGAGTGCGTCGAACGCGGCCGAGGAAATGATGCTCAGGCTGGCCCCCCCGTCGACCAGGACTCGCTTCATCTTGACGTTGTGGATGGTCGGGGAGACCACGAGAGCCAACTTCCCACCCCGAGCAAGCACCGTCGGATGGTCGCTCTGATCGAAGGTGAGCTTCACCTCCGACCAACGCGCCTTCCGTGCAGCCTCGTGAGTCGGGACGACGGCCAGAAGCTCACGCCTCATGGCCTTGAATCCACGACGGGAGGTGTGAGGGCAAGCCCCCCCCCCCCCCCCGTCGAGAGTGGCGACAGTTCCCTTAGGTATCTGGAATTCCAGATCCTCGCTGTCATCACCATCGTCGGCGGGGGCCTTCTTCTTGGACTCCTCTCGCCGATCATTGGTGGGGGTCGCGGGGGCTTTGCCCTCCCGTCGACTCTGCCGCTTCTCCTCATCGGCTTTCCGAAACCGCTCGGCCAAGTTCATGACCGAGCGGCAGTCGGCGAGACTGTGCCGATAAGTATTGTGCACTGAGCACCACTTGTCCGCCGATCGACCCTCACCGGAGGGGGCGGTGGAGCTCGGCTTGCCACCGGTGGCCTTTTCGTTGCGCGGGGCCCGCGAAGACCCATCAGCCGCAAGGACGTGGCCCTCGTCATCAGAGCGGGCCGGTTTCCGCTTGCCCCTCCTGTCCCGCCGCTTGGAGCGAGGGGCAGTCTCGGGGGCAGCCGCAGCCGCCGCACCAGTGCTGGGGGAATTCCAAGCCCACGCCTCCTCCTTCCGAGCCACCTTGTCCGCTAGCTCGAAGAGCTCGGCGGTGGTCTTAGGCTCCTTGGAGGCGATCTTCTCTAGCATGCGGTTGTGCCACACGCCGTTCCGAAATGCATAAACGACCGCGTGGGCCGGGATGCACGGAATAGTGTTGCGGACCTGGTAGAAGCGTTGTATGTATGAGCGGAGGGACTCGTCGTCCTTCCGCTGCACAGCATGTAGGTCCGCCTCCTCCCCCGGACGGGGGTATGTACCCTGGAAGTTCGTGATGAACTGCTGGCACAGGTCCTCCCATGAGTGGATGGTGTCGGGGGGCTGGGTCATGAGCCAGCCGCGCGCCTGACCCTTAAGAGCCATGGAAAAATAATTCGCCATGACCCGGTCATCCCCTCCCGCCGCCACGATGATCGTGGTATAAATTTGGAGGAACTCGGAGGGATTGATGCTGCCATCATATTTCTCCGTGAGGTTGGGGCGAAACTTCAGGGGCCACCGGACGTTCCGGAGACTAGCCACGAAGGCCCTACAACCAATTCCCCCAAGGGTGAACGTGAGGGGCTGGCCGCCGCGCGAGGAGGAACGCGGCACTCCAGACGAGGAGGCGCCTTCTCCCATGCGGGCATCGCGGCGCTCGTCTCGGCGACGCTCGATGTTGACTTGAGCGTCCTGCTCCCCGTAGAGGCCATCGTGATGCCTCCAACTTCCCAAGGCCCCTGACGACGTTGGGGCCGTAGATCGCCTCGAGGCTGTGGCTGTCCGACGGGCCCTCCTCTTTGCTGACGATGACAGGGAGGTGGAGGTACGTGACGTACCTGTGGTGGTGGAACGGCCACTCGCGGCTAACTGCCGCTGGGCAGTGGTGACCAAGTTGGCGACGTCGTCCAACTATCGTTGGACGGGGGCCTCCGGCTCCGTGTTCACCGGAGGGTGCCGCAGGAGGGCTCCTGCCGCCTGAACCGCGCCCTGGGGCGAGCTACCGTCGCGATAGGTCAGGCGGCGGCCCACTCTAACGTGCCGTGGCCTCCCCCGTCCAGAGGCGGGGAGAGGGCCGAGCCACCCGATCGGGCGGGATCCTCCCTCCGCGAGGGGTCGCGGAGGGGCGGAGTCCGAGAGTTGCGTCGGTGATGACGCGGATCGTGACTCCCGCTGGCATCCTCACTCCCGGAAGGAGTGGGGGTGTGCACCTCCACCTCTTCCTCCAAAACCTCGACCATGATCGTCGGGGCCAGAGGAAAACTTGGGGCGAATGGAAACGACTTCCCTTCGAAGCGCACGAAATCCCCCTACCTGGAGCGCCAGCTGTCGAGGAGTGATCCTCTCTACCAGGAGATCGTGGGATCCCCCTTTCGTGAGTTCGGCCAGGGGAAAAGGCCCGCCTCTAGAAATCGCGTCTCCGCCCCCAAGGCTGCTAGCTAGCGTGTGCACAACGAGATTATACAGGTTCGGGCCACTATGAAGCGTAATACCCTACTCCTGTATATGGGATTTAGACTGAGAGTTACAAAGGTTCCTAAACTCCGGAGAGCGCTTTGCTTCCCTTTTCCTAGAGCTCAGGTTTTCTGAGAGTCGTCCCCTTTCTCGGTGGGCAAGGTCCTCCTTTTATACCTCAAGGGGATACCACATGCACTGCCTCTACCTACTCTCCTATTGGGTGGGGACCCACCCTATCTTGACCGAATCTCGACCCGTGCCTTCGCCTGTAAGCTAAGCCATAGCTTGTCCTTGAGTGGGGCCCAGTGTCGTCCCTCGCCTGACACAGGGGACAGCCCTGTCATTCCCTTATTAATAGGTGAAGACTTGTGGTGGCCTCCCTTTCGTGGGGAGAACTCCGAATGACCCTCCGATGGGACGGGTCATACCTACCTCCACTCCACCGGAGGCAGATGCGACGTGGGGGCACGGCCGTCCGTCCAGTCGGATGTGACCGGCGACAAGCCGGTCACAGATCGATCATTCCTGACCGACGCGCGCTAGTCGGGCACGCCGCACGTCTGCCCCTACTGCATTGAATGCGGCATGGGGCAGTTGGGGCGCTGCGCGCATTAAAGGTGGTTCAGGCTGGGCCCCTTCCCCACTTGCTCCCCCGCCAGATGGCAGCTGGGCGAGGGCCTCGGGGCAAAGTGGTGCGAGGGCCCGAGGGGCATGACGTGGCACCCCGAGGTCCCCCGGCCGCTCCTGCAAGTCACGGGGTGTGGGGGTAGGGCCAGGCTGTAGGGTCACGCGACAGGATGGGAAGGTAAATTCCCCTCACTTCGCATACCCCCGGGCCCATATCTCCGACAAATACAATCTCAGCGCATCGCCACCCTTTTTACTTCCGTTTTGTTTCGACGAGTTCTTGCTTTCGGGTTGAGCTACATCGGTATCGATCTTCAACAAGAGGTAAAACTTGTTATGGTGGCTTGCGTTCTCGGGATTAGTGCTTCCATCTTCATGACACTCTAATCTTGTTTATGTAATTCGCCGGGTTATCATATATCTTATATAATCTCCGGCAATATCGTTATCCAACCTACAATCGGCTAAAATCTGTCAGAAGGCAGCCGATTAGGTTAAATACCGATGTTGACCTACATTATATAGGATATCCACCACTCTATGACACATCCAACGACTTGATTGTCTAGATATTGTCCTTCTTTTCATACTTATAGCTGCATCAGTTGAGTTTGACCTTATGAGTCGTGATTAGAATCTCAATCTCTAGCTTGTCTTTGGTTGCCGATTAGGATAGTATCGGAGTTTCAGCCGATCTTATCTGATTTGACTATATTTATCTTATAAGCTTTATTGACATGTTAAATCTGCCCTTTATGTTAAGATCTTGTTGCATGTAAGTATATTAGGCTTTCTGTTTGATATATTTTACTCGCTTTACTATCTTAGTATAGAGTGGTATCAGAGTATTAGCCGATACATGCTAGATCTTCCTGATCGGATATGCTATGAACATATATAGTCTTGTTATTAATATATATTTCGATATAAACTGTCTCGGCATGGCGACCGATCTATCCTAATCACTTGATTTAAGTATATATCGATATAAGGACTATATATCGTTAATATCTACAGCCGATCGAGTAGATTTAGTTCTTTCTTATTTATTAATGACTGTCGATCGATGCATATATGACATCGGCTCAAAGATAAATGATATGTCATCGGCACCTAGCCGATCGGCTATCGTTTATGGATTTAACCGCGGTTTCTTTGTCTTTATTTCTTATTGATTGCAAGATCAAATCAACTAGCACGCTCATACACCTAAAGGCAAGCTTTTGGACCTGCACTGGAGTTAAGCAGATCTCCCAGACCTCGTGTTTTTACATCAACACACTTATACTGGGTATCAGTCAACACCTACTAGGTATCAGGCGATACCGCAGAGGTATCATCATGTCCGAACACCTACTAAGTATCAGGCGATACCTCATATGTATCATCATGTTTGAACACGAGGTATCCGCCGATACCTAGCAGGTATCAAGCGATATCTCAGAGGTACCATCCTGTACGAACGGGACACCGTCACGTAGAATTTCCCTTTATATTTAGCAAATATTTGTTATCATATTTGTTCCGTTTCATATTCATTTCGTATCTATATTCGATTCTATTTTCTTATTCGGGTTTTCAAATCCGATTTTGAGAAAAAATTATAAAAAACGAACGTGATAAAACTAGTTTCCGATTTCGAAAAAGAATAGTGCCTTTATCCTAAAATATAACAATTTATATCTCTCAAGATTTGTCTCAAAATATAACAACTTCTTCACCAGCATTCTCTTCCCAACCAATCACAATCCTTTACCATTCACTTTTCCCACCTACCTCCACTACTTATCCAATCACAACCCTCCACCATTTAGGCCCTGTTTAGTTCCCAAAATAAAAATTTTCACGCTGTCACATCGAATGTTTGGACACATGCATGGAGTATTAAATGTAGGAAAAAAACTCAATTACACAGATTGCATGTAAATTGCGAGACATATATTTTAAGCCTAATTGCGCCATGATTTGATAATATGGTGCTACAGTAAACATTTGCTAATGACGGATTAATTAGGCTTAATAAAGTCGTCTGAATATGTAATTTGTTTTGTTATTAGACTACGTTTAATACTTCAAATATGTGTTTGTATATCCGATGTGACAACTAAATCCAAAAAGTTTCCCCAACTAAATTAGGCCTTACTTCTACCTACTTTATTACTCACTCCACCCCTAAATATAAGGGATTTTGGTTGAACTTATATATCCTGTCTAGATTTTGTCTAGATTCGCATACTTAGGGCATGCTCACTTTAATGAAAAAAAAAACCTTACCAAATTTTTGGCATAGTTGCCAAAATTTTGGTAACTTGTTAAAATTTTGGTAGGATTTCTTATATAGTCATCAAAATTTAGCAGTAAACTAAATATAGTCATATTTTTAGTAACTTTATGTTAAAAATGGCATTAAAGTAAACATGCCCTCAGAGGGAGTAATAACCGTTTCCGTCCGTTTTCATGCGTCTAGCCTGGTTCCGGGTCCGGTCCCACCGGACCATCCCCGTGTGCGATGCGAACTCAAAAAACGGCTCGACCCAGCGACCTGGGGCGTCCGTGTCCGGGTCCGGGTCCGGGTCGGACCGCGCTGCGCCTCCTCCCTTTATTTATCCCGTGCACCGTGCCCGCCGCAGAAGTAGTAGAGACTAGAGAGGCCACAGGCGGCGGCGGCAGCAGCGGAAGTCTCTCGTCTCGTCCGTGGAGAAAGGGGGAAGACGAAGATGTCGACGGAGGCGGAGACCACCAGCGCCGCCGCCCCCGCCCCCGCCCCCGCCCCCGCATCGGCGCCGGCGCGGTGCCAGCGGATAGGCTGCGACGCCACGTTCACCGACGACAACAACCCCGACGGCTCCTGCCAATACCACCCCTCCGTGAGTCCTCCTCCTCCCCTTCTTCCCCTTCTAAATCTCATGGGGTCTAACTAATTGCCCCGCGGATTACGGGAGTGGAGGAGTCTGTTCTTCTAGGGGGAAGTTGGGCAGTTCGAATCTGTAATGGCGGGGTCAAGGGCTTCGCCTGCTCTTGGGAAACTTCTGGGGACGAATTGGGCAGCGGGGAATATTTGAGTTCTATATACAATAATGAAATTTAGTGTCATATAGAGATATGTTGGACTACACTCATTACTCATAGTAGATTAGTGGATTGGATTGCACGATTATACTCATAGTAGATTAGTAGATTAGTGGATTGGATTACACGATTCAATCAGAAGGGTTATTGATGCCATTGGCAAAAGGTATTGTAGTTGTCGCAAACACGTGATATTAGGTGGTTTTTTTTTTGCCCCTTATTTGGGTTAGGATATTGGTACCTTGAAGCTGCCTCTTGATGAGGCATCATGGGCAATGTGTCTGATGTGTGGCGAGGGATTTTTTTCCCCTTTGGATATGGCTCACATGAGTGCTGACTATTTACAAAAAGCAAAAGGAAAAGAGGCAAAGAACTACCTTTCCCTTCAGAGAGTAAACAAAATTAATTTGGAATAAAGATATGACATTCTCTTTCTCTTTCTCTTTTTCAATCCCTACCGTGTCTAAGGGTCAGATACCCATGTTGTACCAAAAAAGGATTAAGTACACAAACAGCTGCTGCAAAACTTCTTCACAACTTCTTCTATTTCCAATTGTGAATATCTCTTGATAACAATGGAAGAAATAATGGTTAATTTTTTCAAGCAATTCTTTTCTTTTGTCTCCAAAGATTCAAATCACATTGCTAACTTTGTGATGCCATGCCAAATTCCATTGTAATATTTAAACACCAAATTCACACTCATGTTTACTGCATTTGGTCTAGAAGAAATACACAACAGCTAGTATAAGAGAATACCTAAATGTGGTCCCATTCTTTTTTGGAAAATGACGAATAAAGCAACATATTTAAACAAGACTCGTATAATATGTTTGCTAACTCTCTTTATGGTTTCTTGTCTACTGCCAAATACTATATTTATTTCCAATTTTCCACTGTAGTGTTCTGACCACTGTCTCCTTTTTTTTTTCTTGCAGGGAGTAAGTGTTTCTTCTTTGCATGAGAGGGTACTTCTAGAAGGATGCATAGGTTAATTTTCTAAGATTTTTTTTTTCAGCCTATGTTTCATGATGGCATGAAACAGTGGAGTTGCTGTAAGCAAAAAAGCCATGATTTTAGCCTATTTTTGGCTATTCCTGGGTAAGGATCCCTCTCTAGTATTTCCTTTTCACAGCATGCACCCACAACATAAGTCAACTATGTGCTATCAACCTGAACATTACCATCTGGGCTGGCCTGTTGTGTATTTTAGCAAAACCAAGCATGAATGCATGAATCGTATGCTGTACTGCTGTGTAGGTGCAAAACTGGAAAGCACACAACTGAGAAACCAATCACAAAAGCAGTTCCTACTAAACCATCAAAGGCAGTTCCAGTCCAGACTTCGAAGCAGAGTGTGGGAGCTGACACTTGCTCAAGGTGCCGTCAAGGTTTCTTTTGCTCTGACCATGGTGAGTTTCTGTCTATAAGCATAATGCTTGGATACAACTGATTGATCCCCTATTTGGGTGTAACAGCTGATTGTTTCGTTATTATTTTAACGACTGACATCCCTATGCATTTTTATGTGTTGATAGAATAAATCGTAACTTTTAATTTAACAGATTATGCACTGCTATTTTTTCAGGATCACAACCCAAGGCACAAATACCAACCGCTACCAGTGATACTAACATGGTACCTGTTGAGAAGCCTGCAGTTCCACCACCAAAGAAAAAAATTGATCTGAATGAGCCTAGGGTTTGTAAGAACAAAGGATGTGGTAAAACCTACAAGGAGAAGGATAATCATGATGAAGCATGCGATTACCATCCAGGACCTGCAGTTTTTCGCGACAGGATTAGAGGGGTATGTTTTTGGTTCAAACTTATTGTTGTTTTGCTCTATTCCTTGATTTTTGCCATCACTGACTCTGACATCTTTTTAAAAATTTTTGCAGTGGAAATGTTGTGATATTCATGTCAAGGAATTTGATGAATTTATGGAGATCCCTCCGTGCACAAAGGGTTGGCACAATGCTGATGCCGCATGAATTTTCACCATGCCCCATCTTGGAATAAGAACCCTATTAGCATAAGGTTCTCTTGTATCTCGTAGTGCATAAGGTGCAATTTTTATGGAGAATTTTACTTGGAGTTGGGGAGTGTGGCAAAGATACCGAGAATAGGCTGTTTTACCGTGCTCTGTGTGACTGCTGCAAAAGTGTGCGTGGTGTTTCATTTTTTGTCTGAAACGGGGACTTGAAATTGTGTGTGGAGACTTCGGTCTCGTTCGTTGGCTCGTTGCCAATTCTTCATAGTTAGAAAATCAAATGCTCCATCTAAATGCTATCCTGCAGACTTTTGGTAACACCCATCTTTCTGTTTATATGAGAAATAACATGATTTCGTTATCATATCAAACACTTCCTTTTCCATCCCTACGCAACAAAATTGGGTATTAGGTAGTGTCTTCGTTTCTCAACATTTTGTGCTACTAAAGTTGATAACAATAACTTAACTTTGACATCAACCATACACTTCTTTTCCATCATTCCCAACTGATTTGGCGCTGCCAAAGCTTTGCCCAACCTTCAACGGTACTTTTACATGGCATCAAATTAAATCAACCCTATCAAATTTTCTGTGGCATCAAATTGATCCAATTCTGTCCGATTTAATGCATACAAGTTTTTAAAACTAAACTATGGATTGTGACACCGCAAGAATCAATGTGTTGCTGTCCAATTCCAGTACTCTGGGCGCTCGAGTCGAAGGACACCACTGTTTGATGTGATGAAGTGCACTAAGGCTCTGTTCTTTTTGGTTGAGTTGGGAACCCATCCCTCCGGTACGTAAAACGAATCAGTCCATTAGCACGTGATTAATTAATTATTTGCTAATTTTTTTTTCAAAAATGGATCAATATAATTTTTTTAAGCAACTTTCGTATATAAACTTTTTGCAAAAAACACACCGTTTAGCAGTTTGAAAAGCGTGCGCGCGGAAAATGAGATGGGGGAGTTGGGAACTCCAGGAAACGAACAGAGCCTAAGTGTAACAACATCTCGACCAACTTACCTACTCCATCCGTCTTAATAGAAGTGTAATATAATATACTCCCTCCGTTTCACAATGTAAGTCATTCTAGCATTTCCCACATTTATATTGGTGCTGGTAGTATATGTGATATATCCTAGGACTATAAATCTGGATTATTGTCTATCCACGTTCGTAGTTTTAGGATATGTCACATCCTACTACTACTATTTTTTTTCCAAACAACAGTATTCTCTCTCTATATTGGTTGTCGGTTGTTCTCTCCTCACCCTATCACAGCTGCTGCAGCTTCCTCATGCACCAAATGTTGGATTCATCGTTGTTGAGATATGGAGGGTTGTGGCACTCAACCTGCGGCGGCGGGAGCTGCCTCCACTGATCATCGTGGCCACAAACTCCTCGCAGCGGGTGAGGCGTGGGAGTTGCGGCGACGCTGGAGAAGAGGTGGCGTGACGCGTGACTGAGTGTGGGGTGGTGTGGGAAAGAGTTAGCTGAATCGCTCAATCACATGAGCGGATAGAAGATAGAGATCATACGCCCAAATTCAGGGAATACGAGGGAATGAACTGAGGACGCCTCATAATAGGGGATGGTATAGTTGCTAGAGCACACTTTTTCGCCAAATTCTGTAAATTTAGAGATAGGGGATTGTATAAGATTCTGGGTAGAGGTGCTGGTCGTGTTTAGCTCCATTTCAATTTTTTTAAAAGTATACGGACACATTTGAAGTATTAAACGTATACTAATAACAAAACAAATTACAAATTTCGCCTGTAAACTGCGAGACGAATCTTTTTAAGCCTAATTAATCTGTCATTAGCAAATATTTACTGTAGCGCCACATTGTCAAAAATCATGGCGTAATTAGGCACAAAAGATTCGTCTCACAATTTACATGCAAACTGTGCAATTGTTTTTTCGTTTACATTTAATGCTCCATGCATGCGTCCAAATATTTGATGTGATGAAAAAATTCGAAGTTTGAAGGAAACTAAACACAACCGTTGTAATAGCAAACAGTGAACTCCGCAGACTACCACTATAATTTCCAACTGTGCCATCAATATTTCTAGTTATACATTGAGCAAACAAGACCTCATACAACCTCGTTTGCATTTATTTGGCATTTTTGACTTGTGCTTACCTCCTCGTTTGCATTTATTTGGCACTGACTTTTACCGTTTTAACTTTGACTATTTTTTAAATGGTTAGACCAAAATGAATACATGATGCAACTGGTATATAATGTGACATATTTTTAAGAACTTGTATTTTTTTCTAAAAAAAGAAAGATAAACATTGTCAAATGGTATGAATGTTGTCATTTTTTAAAAATAAAATTAACAACTATTTGAATAGTGTTTGAACAAATAAAGGGACATTTCCTCGAAAGCTTACAACGATTTCCCCACATTTTGTTGCACTTTAAAATTTGCCGGAAGAAAGAAAAGTTCACTCTTGAGCTTCTGGAAGCCTGGAACTGGTGCCATATCTTCTGCTCCCTCCGTTTTAAAATGTTTGACACCGTTGACTTTTTAGCACGTGTTTGACCATTCGTCTTATTCAAAAAAATTAAGTAATTATTTATTCCTTTCATATCATCTGATTTATTGTTAAATATACTTTCATGTACACATATAGTTTTACATATTTCACAAATTTTTTTAATAAGACGAACGGTCAAACATGTGCTAAAAAGTTAACGGTGTCAAACATTTTGAAACGGAGGGAGTATTATTGTCTTATTGGTAGATGTTTACATAATCATACAGTAACAGTAACATAGATAATAACTATAAGTAGGTAAGTAAGATTATTATTGCAAACCCGAACATAAGAGTAGCACAAGCAGAAGCAGTAGGCGACGCCGACCAGTACATTCAGGGGATGCCGATGATTGGCAGGAAAGGGAAGAAGTAGATGAGCGGAAGGCCCGGGCCGGCGTAGGGCGGAGGGGTGGCGCGCCCGGCGCGCGGCGTCGCCCTGCGCGCCCGCGGCGGCGCGGGGCTCTGGCCGTTACCGGTGGCCGCCGCCGTCGACGACGCTAGGGCGCCGCCGCCGCACCTCGTGAAGACGGCGAGGCTGGACGCCAGCGCGTACGAGCCGTGCTTCTCCCGGCCGCCCGCGGCGACCACGGGCGCGACGGCGAGCCCCCCCGGCGCGCAGAGCTGCTCGGCGCCGCCGAGGACCCTCGCCGCGCACCGCGGGTGGCTCCGCCAACTGTCGACGTCGTCTCCGCCGGCCGCCGGCACGGCCACGTCGAAGCCCCCGCGCTCGTCCGTCTGCGCCGCCCGCAGCTGTCCAACGCCGCCATCGCCGCCGCCGCATCTCACCGCCACCACCACACCTGCAGCCACCGCGCGCGACGTCACGATCGACCATGTCTGCCCGGTGCGCGCGTGACCGCGTGTTACTACATTACATACCGGAGAGGTCGTGGCCCGGGGCGCAGTCGAGGCAGGCGACGTAGCCGCGGAGCGTGCCGGCGCCGCGCACCCCGGCCTCGCCGTGCGCGACGGCGGCGGCGGCGGCGAGGGCGAGGGCGACGACGACCGCGAGGCGAGGAGCCATGACGAGTGTAGTACTGGTTGTTGCACTTGCACCGTTGCACGCGCGCGGCTATACGTGTCTACGTGCTACGGTTTGTGTGTGTGTGTGTGTGCGCCTTTTTGTAGTACGAGGATACGCGCGATCGAGCATTGAGTACGCGCACGCAGGGGCAGATGGGCAGATCGCCGGGCCTTAACGCCGGCCGCCACCATGGCTCGCGCACCGGCTCTGGACGCAAACGTACCCGAAAAGGAGGTCCTTTTGCCGTTGCAGGGATGTACTTCCCGAAAAGGAGGGCACCGATTGCTGTAAACGGGCCGGCCCAGAGTTGGCAAGACCGAGCTCGGTGGGATCAAAGGGAGGACGGGATATGTATGGTTTTAGTATGGAATAAGTCCACTTTGACTCCCTTAAAAATGACCCGAATCTAATCCGTGACTCTCAACCGTAAAACCGGATAGGATGACTCTCCGAACTATTCAAACCAGTACAATTTGACTCCCTCAGTGGTTTTGGAGGGTGGTTTTGCTGATGTGGCGTTGACGTGGCGATGTTGACTTGATCTGTGTTGTTGATGTGGCGCTTATATGGCATTAAAATAAAAAATTATATGGACTCCATTCGTCATTCACATGAAAAAAAATTGCGAGGCCTACATGTCATCCTCTATCTATCCTCCTTCCCCCCCCCCTCTCTCTCTCCCTCCTCTGTATGTTTCTCTTCCACCAGATTCGGTGCGGAATCTGGAGCGGCAACGGCGGCGGCAGGGTGAGGGCCGGCGCGGAGGAAGGAACTTGAGCGGGTTGAGCGGCGGCGACGGCAGAGAGCCAAAGGAGAGGCGGTGGAGTGGCGACGGCCACAGCTTGCCGGAGAAGGCGGGGGCGTCCGGCCGGTGGCCTCCCCCACGATGGTGCCGCGCCAGGCTAGGACGAACGAGAGGGCTAATGCAGACGGCGAGGCCTGAGACGCTGCCGGCCCCAGCCGTGCCTCCCGGTCTGCACCGGCAGGGGGTGCCGCCTCTGTTTCTTTCTGCTCGGAGAACATGCATGTGCACAGCGTTGCCTAGCAGATGCAAGTGCAGCGCCGGTGTGGGGTAGCAATGCGCGGCCGCCATGGAATCCAGTCGAATTTTGGCAGGACCAGCAGCTGTAGGACGAATCCGTCCTACCAGCGTGGTCCACCCGAGTCCTGCAGATCTTGAGGTCATGGACTGGTCTGATTTTTTTCTTTCTGGTCACTGTTTGCAAGGTCTTGAGGTCGTGGACAATAGCTACTTCATCACCGAGGACAACGTCGGCATGCTGAAGCTCGCCAAGGAGGCCAACAGCATCTTGGTTCGTCGATCAGCGCATTGACTCATGTTACCAATTCGCCTATGAAAATTGCTAACATCTAACCGTGACATCCTTTTGATTAATTGGTACAAGAAGTTTGACTGCCGTATGCCGCGCCGGAGACAGTGGGTTGCACAGTGGTGCACTCAAACGGCCATACCGCGGCGGCCATGTCCACGAGCGGATTGATGAACAAGATGACCGGGCGCATCGGCGACTCGCCGTTGATCGGGTTGGGAGAAGGCAAGGCCATCATATGCTCCACGCTGGCGCGCGACGCCGCCGCCGTTATGGAGTACAGGGGCGTCGGGCTGCATGAGGCCATCGACTACTGCGTCAAGGAACGGCTAGACGAGGTTCATCGGGCTCATCGCGGTGTCCAGCACCGGCGAGGTGGCGCACGGGTTCAACTGCACCGGCATGTTCAGCGGGTGCGGCTGCAGGAGAAAAGAGAGAGAAGGGAGAGAGAGGGGGAGGAGGAAGGGTTGGAGAGAGAAAGGATGACATGTGGGTCCCACAATATATTTTGTGTGTAAATGACAGACGGGTCCCACAAAATATTTTTAATTGTAATGCCACATAAGCTCCACGTGGGATGAAGACCAGGTCAACACCGCCACGTCAGCAAAACCGACATCCAAAACCGCTAAGGGAGTCAAATTGCACTAGTTTGAATAATTCAGGGAGTCATGCTATCCGGTTTTACGGTTGAGAGTCACGGATTAGATTCAGATCACTTTTAAGGAAGTCAAAGTGAACTTTTTTCCTTTTAGTATCACATCGGGTGTTGAACTGTTGACAGCCGAGGAGGGGCAAATGGCGGATATAAAAGGGGGTTGGAGAGCATTGTTGCAACTCATATCTTTCTTGGTCCTTTGGATAAGATCAAGTGTAGTACTCCCTCCATATTCATAAAGGAAGTCGTTTAGGACAGCGATACGGTGTCCAAAACACATTTTTGACTTCTTATTTCTATAATAATATTTATTGAAAAGTGATATATGTATACTTTTATGAAAGTATTTTTCAAGAAAAATCTATACATATAGTTTTTACATTTTCAAACTCAACAACTTGAGAGTTATTCATGATTTATATTCCCAAGGTTTGACTTAAACATTGTCCTAAATGACTTCCTTTATAAGTATGGAGGGAGTATATGTTATCAGTTTATAATACTATTATCTGGCATGTGGACTATGTGCGCCCACTTTGATATTAAATTTATTTTTTTTGGGAGGATTCACTGTAGTGGCTTGCAACTAGGAGGACCCTCGTGTGTTGTTTGGGCATTGCATTGCTGCCAATCTTAGAGCAACCCAACCAAAATGAAGTAAATTTTGTTAAACTGAGTAAGATTAGTATAGTTTGTTTGTTTAGAAAAGAATGTTTGTATTGTCCTATTTTCAAAATTGTAGAAAAGAATATTTTAAATTAGTATCATTGACCTATGCTACCCAATTTAATGAGATTGTTGCATGGTTTTTTGCTGCATCATATTCATCATCGAGCATACGAAGAAAACCTAAGTGATGAGTAGTATTATTTAAACAACAATAAGTATTCTATTTTAATTTCCGAAGCAATTTGGATAATCATCAAAGCCATTTCTTTGGCTATCATTCATAAATTTTTTACAGGTCTTTGAATACAAACTGGGATTATGAACAATGGGCAATTGGTAAATTGTTGAGAGAGCACCTCTAACATGAGAAAGGACAACGACAAGAAATTTTGTCGAACATACAAGTCTTGTGTGACGGAGCCTTTAATATAAGTGTTCATGGTAGGAAGAAACTATTTAATGATGAGAAGCGTTAATGATAGCTAAGAAATAGGGAAAACTTGGGTGGTAGCCGGTAGTCATAAGGGTGATGACCAACAAGCGTGGCTAAAGACAATATTTGTTTTGCTATCACGAGAGTTGGCTATACTAAATTAAAATTTTGAATCTTTTTTGCGTGTGCACACACTCTAATAGAATAGACCAAACCTAGAGAATAAACCGTCTAACCTTGTTAGCTAGCTAACAGGTGTTAAGCATGCCAATTGATGTGGTTGCCAATCAAGAAATACTCCCTTCCCTCTAAGGAAAAAAGGACTACTACTACACAGTAGTAACAACCTCGGATCTGCTGGGATCGACAACTTTAGTAATCATATCGTAGTCGATGGATTCAAATCTACGTGTTCTCTTAAGGGGTTTGGAACCCTTTTCCTCAGTATGCAAACCAAGTGTTAAATTAATGCATGATACAAAACAAAGTGTTAAATTAACACATGATTAATTAAGTTTTAGTAAAGAAAAACTTGAAAATAAATTAATATGATTTTTTTAAAAATAACATTTGTATATATTTTTTAAAAAACATACCGTTCAACGTTTTAGAAAACGTGCAAGTAAAAAAATGATGCAATAAAAGTTTGTATAAGGCTATGTTCGTTTGTATCGGTTGGGAACGCTCTCTTCCGGCGTGGAAAATAGAGCGGTTCATTGACACGTAATTAATTAAGTACTAGCTGGAAAAAACTTGAATAATGGATTGATATGATTTTTTAAAGCAACTTTCATATTGTTGATGCGAAAAACACACACTGGCCTAGGAGATTTGCTTAGCTCCAGTACAGGTCCAAAATCTTGCCTTGAGATTCGCGAGCGTACCAGTTGATTTGATCCTGCAATCAACAAGAAATAAAGACGAAAGAAACCACGGTTAAATCCGTAAACGATAGCCGATTGGCCAGTCGCCGATGACATATCATTTATTTTCAAGCCGATGTCATATGTGAATCGATCGGTAGTGGTAAATAAGCAGGATAAGACTAAATCTACTCGATCGGCTGTAGATATTAACGCTATATAATCTTTCTGTTGATGTATATTTAAACCAAGTGATTGGGATAGATCGGTCGCCATACTGAGACAGTATAAATCACTTAGATCGAAGTATGCATTAACATAAAGGTTATAAACGCTTATAGCATAGCTGATCAGGTAGATCTAGCATGTATCGGCTAGTACTCCGATACTACTCTATGTTAAGATGTTAAAACAGATAGAATATATCACACAGAAGCCTAATATACTTTATTGCAATAAGATCTTAATATAAAGGGCATACTTAGCATATCAATTAAGCATGTAAAACATAAGACTAAGTCAGGTAAGATCGGTTGAAACCCCGATACTATCTCTCTCAATGATCATAAAACAAGCCAGATATCATAATTATAAATACAACTTAACAGATCGAACTCAACCGATGCAGCATCAAGCATAAAGACAAGTATGAGATCTAAACAGAATGATGAAAATCTACAAGAGATGGTAGATACAAGATACAATCTAGATTAATAACAAAATATAACTCTACCGATTATTCCCTAATGATAAGAACCAGCCGATAACAAGCTATATAGTGCAACTAACATAGATTGCAACAGATATATGATAACTCGACTGATTACAGAAATAGGGTTAAAGTATCATAAAGATGGAAGCATTAACCCCGATAACGTAAGCCGCCATAACAAGTTTTACCTTTAGTTGAAGATCGAATCGATGCAGCTCAACTCAAAAGTAAGAACTCGTCGAAATAAACGAAAGTAAAAAGGGTGGCGATGTGCCGAGATTGTATTGAACGATTGTTGTTTGATTACATGGGTTCGGGTCATATTTATACCAGAGATACAAAATATGTCCTTGCCGGACACGACACTTATCTCTAACAAACTCTAAGATATCATAAGTCTTTTGCCCAAACATATCTCTAAGGAAATTACATAAAATATCCTAATTAATAGATACAACTGCCTAAACCGAGAGCTTTATCTCCATCATGGCAATCCCTGTAAAGCACTTTGAACAATTCTAGAAACGGCCTTGAAACCATCTTCATCGGAATCGATTGCATTACCTCTATCGGCTGTATCTTTTATCCTCTGTCCGATCCATCTCAACCAATGCACACTCCAGCCGATGCCTTCGCAGCCGACGCATACTCTGCTCTTCAAATCGATCCCTTTATCGAATCCGCCTCGATCCCAATGTCGAACCTGGTTCACATCATACCAAATTTGGTCGTCAACACATATAAAACTTTTTTTTTTGCAAAAAACACATTGTTTAGCAGTTCCAAAAGCGTGCACACAAAATATGAGGAGAACCCTGAGAAACGAACTCAGCCGAAGTGTAACTCAGAACATGTTTCAGATTGTGAAAGTGTAGGAACTGTTTGACACAGCTCCAGCTTCAACTCTCCTATAGCTAGAGTCCAACCAAATAGTTTTTAGCTTTATCTAAAACATGAGCGGAATTAGGTGAAGCGTTCTCACAAAATGAACTAAAAATGTAAAGCTGGCTTAGACTTATTGGCTTATACTCCATATGATTTATAAGCTGGTGGATTTCATGTCTTAAGTTTAGTGGTGGAGCCATACATCTACTTCATATGAGCCAAAAAGCTTCTTTAATCTAGTTTTTAGCTTAATAGTGTTAGAGTGGCTTATGGCTTCAAAAAGACCAAACGAATAAGCTGTTTGTTTGTTTAGTCTTAGATTTTTTAACTTATAAATTGATTTATAAGTCTAAATAAAGAGGCACCGCTCACAGCAAATCTAATTTGTGAAGAGTCCACCCTTCACTTCTTCAGTCCTTCACACTCGTCTACTCCGCCAAACCGCGCGCACAACGCCGGCGCGACCAAGCGGAAAATACCGATTCCGCTGGCGGAAGATGCCCCCAGCTCTCCCCATCTGTCCTCTACCGCGCGCCCTATCGGATCCAACCGCGTGGTAAACAGGGGTCCGTAAACCCGAATCATGGCCAGCGTCTATCCAAATCCGTCGCGATACTACCCCCCACCCCCCCCCCCATAGTTCCGTACGCCCCAGCATCACCATACACCAGCAGCGCCCTGCAGCTGCAAGCCTGCAACTAGTCGCTGGCCGGCCGGCCGGCCATGTACTACTGCCTCGCCGCGCCGCCGGCCGCTGCGGCACCGGCAGCGCCAGCGGCGAGGCGCGCGTCCTCTTTCCTCTTCGTGGTGTCGGTCCCTCCTCCGACTTTATGGGGGAGGGTGACGGGAGGCGCCGTGTCCGCCCAGCGGCTGGTGCGGCGGCGGTGCTCCTCCGCCGGCGAGCCCAGGGCGGCCGGCGACGGTGGCCTATCCAGGTTGGGTTACTGTAGCAGCTGCCTTATCAAAACCAACGCCTTCTTCTGTTCTGTTCTAGGAAATGGATGGGGTTCTTGAGCTACTCCTCGATTTGGCAATTGCACAGTAACAACATGTTGAAAACTCGTAAATTCAGATTGTACATATGGTTCACTTAAAATTCAGATTGTACATATGCTCTTAGTGATCTGTCAGCTGTGGTGGCTGCCTGGTGTAGTGCTATCGTAGAAAAAATAAATGTTTTTTGCAACTTAGGAAACCATGTATCCAAAAATTGACCAAGATTACAAGGAAGTCATCACAAGAATGTAGTTGTTGAGAGTAAAAATGGCGCTATGGTAAGAGTAATGTAAGTATGAATTAGATATTGAGGAGTCCTATCAAAAAGTTCTCAAGTATTGTTAAGTGTATACACCTTCTGCAAATACCTAGTATTATATTGGATAATCTTTGTTATCTTTGCATAAAAATGTAGGTGTGAGAAAAATATATTAAAAAAATTTTCTTCTACAGTTTTTGCATAATTGAAGGCCCAGAGACTATACAAGACTTTGTTCAAATGCAATCACAAGAGATTCAAGACAACATCAGGAGCCGCCGTAACAAAATTTTCCTTTTGATGGAAGAGGTGTCTAGTATATATATGAACTTCATCTCTTCAGTTTAATAGTCCATTTTTAGCTTGTTGAAACAGCAGATTGCAGTTCACCACAATATGGGTATTTTCTCAGGTTAGACGATTGCGGGTGCAGCAGCGAATCAGAACTTCTGAAAGCAGAGGTGCAAGCAGTGAAGAAAGTGAAATGCCTGAAATCCCGTCTAGTATTCCCTTTTTGCCTAATACGGTGATTACCGGCCCTCAATAAGTCTCCTTAAGAAATTTACCATACTGTTTTCCCAGTAATCTCTATTAATTCCTTTCTTTTTCCTGATGTAGTCACCGAAGACAATGAAACAACTCTATTTGACATCATTCTCATTCATAACTGGGATAATCTTTTTTGGAGGCTTGATAGCCCCAGTAGTAAGTGCAGCTTTGTCTCTGTATTCATACTTCCTTCCTAATTAATATATCATGGCTCTTAAAAGTATGTTTTTCATGCAGCTTGAGCTGAAATTAGGGCTAGGTGGTACATCTTATGAAGATTTTATAAGGACCATGCACTTGCCTCTTCAATTAAGGTGCTTGAAATTTTTGTTACTAGACTCTTCAGTAGTGTTTACTGATTAGAATTGGTGATTTGATATATGCTTTTTGGTTGTTGTTCAGTCAGGTAGATCCCATTGTGGCATCCTTTTCAGGTGGTGCAGTTGGTGTAATCTCGGCATTAATGTTGGTTGAAATTAGAAACGTCAGGCAGCAAGAGAAGAAAAGGTGTACATATTGCCATGGGACTGGTATAATCAATTGCCTTACCATCCGTCTGCCCCTAACATGGCTCGGTCATGCCCCTAATGTAGTACCAAATACAAAAATGGAATATGCTTGAAACATTGTTTTGCTTCTTGTGCTAACACCAATTATCACGATCCTTCTTTTGTTCTTTTCTCTCTCTCTCTCTCTCTCTTTTCCTGATATCATTACTCTTTAGGCTTTGATATTATCTTACTGCATTCTCATACCTGAACTTGATTCTGCATCATAGGATACTTGCCATGCGCTCGCTGTTCTGCAAGTGGAATGCTATTGAACAGCAAGAGTTTTTCACTTTCATGTGACAACGGCCATAATATGTGGTCTACAACCGAAAGGTGCCCCAATTGTTCAGGAGCTGGAAAGGTACCCGCTATCGAATTCTGTTTCGTTTCAGAAAACTCAGTTTGATACCGTCAACAAGATTAAATTTAGAAACTAAACAGTTTATGTACACAAGAGGATTAAATGATTAGGGAGCAGCACATACTATTCATATGCTACTTAGTGCCTAAATTCAGTGCTGACCAAACTTTTTGTTTACTCCTTCTGCCAACCATCCTGCAAGTTTATCTTGAACTGGCCTTTTAGGTTGCAGAGTAGGAAAGAAATGCCATTTCATTTCTTGTTCTACTGATCTACTTCCCCAACCTGATAAACTCATAAACTGCCCTAATTCACGTACATGGTCGCTATTTTCAGGTGATGTGCCCAACTTGCTTGTGCACAGGAACGGCAATGGCAAGCGAGCATGACCCACGGATAGACCCCTTCGATTAGTGATGAGCAATTGGAATCTGGAAGTGTGTATTCTAGCTGTACTGTTGGCTGCCCCCCCTTTTTGTTTGTGTTGCTGTGATAGGCCTGAATACCTGAAGAATGAAGTTCAGATCACACAACGAAAGCCAAAAGCTGTAACCGTACGATGAATGAACTCTGTGACTAGTATAGAACTCTCGTCTGTGGAACTTTTTCCGAATTATTTTTGTAAAGATTTAAGGAATTACTTATCGCACGTCGAACACAACGCGACGGTTTGGCCGAGTGGTCTAAGGCGCCAGATTTAGGCTCTGGTCCGAATGGGCGTGGGTTCAAATCCCACAGCTGTCAATTCTATTTTTAATTTCCTACACCTGATTATTTTTAATTTTTGTTCTACACATGACATGATGATTTTTTTTTAAAAAAAATAATTGTACACATGATTCTACGTGGAAAATTTCCGGCTGCAGCCTGCAGGAAGCACACTTTCTTGCACCAATACTCGCATAAGCATTTTGCATTATATGTTTCGTATCATCGTATCACTTCTAGTGTTGTTCCTCCGTAGATCAGGGATAGAACGAATCTAATTTTAACTTTATTCTGATTACAAGAAACATGTGCGTTACACACTTGTATACACAATTGATTTCGGAAAACGAAGTGAACGATTGAGTTTCTTGTGGTAGAACCATCTCTCTCGGGTTGAAGCCCTAGACTTAACATGAGCATTTATAGTTTATTATGTTTTCAATGATAAACAATGTACCTGTTAAGAGCAAAACATCCGTGATGACTTGACTTTATCAATATCAAAATATGCTGGTATAGTATTTTAGAGGTACTCATAGTAATAGAGGCTATGTTAGAACGTGCTAGTTGCCGTAGCCACAACGGTTGCGACAATTGTAACTGGCTACACATAGCAGCCGGTTTGAACTGCCGCAGCTGTAGCTGCTGTGACAGCCAGGCCAACCGAACGCATCCAGAGTATGTGTTCATTGGGACAAGCGTACATATGTTGTAAGTGACTGCGGCAGTGTTTAGTTCTCTTCAAACTTCTAAAAATTCCATCACATCAAATGTTTGGACACATGTATGAAGCATTAAATGTGGACAAAAAAAATCAATTGCACAGTTTGCATGTAAATTGTGAGATGAATCTTTTGAGCCTAATTACGCCATGATTTGATAATGTGATGCTATAGTAAACATTTGCCAATGACGGATTGATTAGGCTTAATAAATTCGTCTCGCAGTTTACAGGCGGAATTTGTAATTTGTTTTGTTATTAGTCTACATTTAATACTTCAAATGTGTATCCGTATACTTCAAATAAATTTTAGCACACGAACTATCACACAGCCTGCGTTTGTATTGTGTTTTAAAAGAAAACGATATGAGAAAGCAAACCACAGCAAGACAAGAGCCCAAGACATCTTGAGAAAAGCTAAAGGAATAAGTCTATTTTACGTCCCCATACCTTTGATCGAATCATCTCCTTGAAACGCAAAACCGGTATAATACCTCCTCCATCTTTGAAAATGGACTAGGCACAGTTTTCAAAGATAAAGGAATCAAGATAGACTTTTTTTGAGAATAAATCAAGATAGACTCAATTGCAAAACTAAAAGGAAAAGACGTACCCTAGCATATACTGGGCCGCGTTACGACAAGGAGCCCAAAGGCCGAAGCCCATATGCCCCCAGCTGAACACTACTTATATAAAGCGAATTGCTCCAGCAGCCGTCCCTTGAGCTAGGGTTTTATCGCCGCCGCCGCCGCTTCTCCACTCTCCCCTGCCCCCGTCGCCGTCGCCACCGCCGCCGCCATGGTATGTTTCCTGTGACACACACTATCTCTCTCTGCTCTCCTCATGTTAGGCCGAATGATGCGTTGCGATGACCATGGTGCTGCGTTTGCGGTTGACAGTCCGGGAGGAAGAAGACACGGGAGCCCAAGGAGGAGAACGTCACCCTCGGCCCGACCGTGCGCGAGGGCGAGTACGTCTTCGGCGTCGCCCACATCTTCGCCTCCTTCAACGACACCTTCATCGTCAGATCCCGCCCTCCCTCTCCTCCCCCCCTTTCCCGTTCGATTGGTCGATTGGGATTTTTTTTTTTTGCTTACCCCTGTGCGATTTTGGTTGCGTTGCAGCATGTCACCGATCTGTCCGGGAGGGAGACGCTCGTCCGCATCACTGGTAAAATCCTCCCCTCCTAAGCCCCTTCCCCGTTTATCTCGCTCTCTATGCCGATGTGATGCATTAGGGGTTGCTTATTGTCTGAAATGGTGGAGACAATTTGTGTTTTTGAGTTCATGTCGCGATGTTTTTTTTTTGCTCATTTGTTAAGCACGGCCCTTAAGATCGCCTCCCTTTCGTCACGTGGGAGCGTTTCGAGTCATAGCTGTGCTAAAGTAACAATGAGGGACCTCGGAGTTTTTCTTTGGTCCTTCCCTCTTCCTGTTTTGTTCTAGGTATCTCCATCTCAGCTTGTGTATCCCTTGGTGTGGCTCGGACTTTTATCAGTCGCAATTTTGTGCTGATTGCCTGAGCTGTTCACCCTGGGAAGCCTCGGTGAATTGAATGGAGATGTCTATATTATGGGAGTGGACATGGTTTATTTTTCTTCAAGAATGTATTTTTATTTGCCCACGCTCTGTGTGTATATATAACTTATTACCGCATTTTCTGTTAGACGTAATTATTGTAGGATGTTGTGAATATATCAGTTGAGATTGGTAAAAAGTTCATGATAGCAATCAGGCAGTTTCACAGTTAATTTAAATTATCGTGTAGTCATTAGAAAATAGTTGTTTTTGTTTTCAGAGAAATGGTCTCATTTTTGTCTTTACTGTGGATGTTGCTGTCATTTTCTTTATAAACTTGAATTATTTCTGTGGTTATCTTTGTTAACCGGTTGTGCGACGGACTTAAGTTAAATGGGTGAAATCACAACTTAATTTTACATGCTTAAGATTAATATCAGATTGACCATTTAATATAATTTATATATTCATTCTAGATGTGTCTTTTGTAGGCTGTTATCATTTTCTTTGTTATAACAATGTTCAGTTGTTTTAATATGTTAATTGTTTGTTGTCAAGGTGGCATGAAGGTTAAAGCTGATCGCGACGAATCTTCCCCTTATGCTGCTATGCTTGCTTCACAGGATGTTGCTCAAAGATGCAAGGTATCCCCCTACTTTGGTCAAGATAATACTGTTGTTTGTCAGTTAATGATTAATGCCTTGTATCCATTTTGTAGGAGCTTGGAATAACTGCTTTGCATATCAAGCTCCGTGCTACTGGTGGTAACAAGACAAAAACCCCTGGTCCTGGTGCTCAGTCCGCACTTAGAGCACTTGCTCGATCTGGCATGAAGATTGGTCGTATTGGTAAGCATACAAACATTTATTTTTCTGCATGATGCTTGCTGATATATTTGTTGGATGATGGTTGGTTTATTTGTTTATTCTGTTTGAACTGTTGGCCTGTTCTGTTCTAATATTATTGGACAGCATGAAGTCTGCACCAGGAGGAGCACTTCAATGTTAAAATTTTATTGAAACAAATCCTGCATGTAAAATATCAACGTATAAGCATTGTTTAGTTTATAACTTGTTTCAATGCTATATCAACAAATAAATAATATATAGTTTAACCACTCTACATTATGAATCAATTAGACAGAATGGTAAGATCATTTGATTGGAGACAAATTCCAATTGAAATCTGCTTGTTCTTTTTGGATCGTTTGGATTCATGCTTTTTATATTGCTGGTTTGTTTACCGTACAGTACTCCCTGGTGTTCTAGCATTATTTTGCACTCGACTGTATAAGTTATAATTCACTTTTAAGAATGTGGTATGAATGAACATAGTGAATATAAGTATGCAATATGGACATGCATCAACCTAATGCTAGTCAATGAAATGTTAGCGCAACTAGAATGTTCAACAAGTGTCTCATATTAACATAATGCTTTGGTTTCTCAAAATATGTCACGGCCTTTCAAAGTGTATATATTATATAGGATTCTCAGTGTAACTGTAATAAGTAGCTGTGAATCCTCCTGCAGTCCTTTGTTCAGTCATGAATCGACCATGTTTCTATCATTGCTCAAGTTTACAGTTGGGATAACAGACCTTTACTTGCATACTCTTATTTTCCAAGAGCATAATTTGGCAATGCCTTTCCTTGCTTTTTATGTCATTCTGTTCGTATTTTCCTTGATAATAGGAAGGCAATGAACACTTCTTTTGTATTTACTCGAATGGAAATTTACAGAAGAAACATCTGTACTTGCATCTGTTCTTTTGTGGCCTAGTTGAACTCTATTTCGAATGTATGCTGTTTCATTGTAATTTTCAGCTGATGACGTCTTGTCAATTTTCTGTCATACAGAGGATGTTACTCCAGTGCCGACTGATAGCACACGCAGAAAGGGTGGTAGAAGGGGTAGGAGGCTGTAATCTTCATGCGGCCTCAAACCGACAACACTCTGCTCTCCTAGATGTTACCGTCTGCATTGGACTATTTTGTTTCTGTGCTTTTCATTCGGTGGATTATTTAAACCAGTTTTGAACTCTGTTTCTGCATCAATTCATGCTGTCCTCAATGTAACCAACGTTATCTGCTTCGACCGGTGAACATACTCCTGTTGGATTACTTGAGCATATGCCACTACAGGCCGGACACTGCTTTCGTTGTTTATTCGGGAGAGCATGGCAAACTTGGGAGATGAAAACCTGGAAAATGGTGCGAGGATAATGGGCATAACTGTAAAATAGTGCGTTTTGTACGAAAACTTTATATATGAAAGTTGTTTTAAAATTTCAGGTTAATCCATTTTTCAAGTTTGTAATAATTAAAACTTAATAATCTTCATCTTAAGGACATTCAAACACCATCAATATGTGCATTGTCCGGTTTATCACAATATACTCACAACGTACCTTGCTTTCATAAGAAAGAAATGGTACTCCCTTAAACTCCCTTAAACGTTTGACTGTTCGGTTTATTCAAAAATCACATAATATGTGATCACATAATATGTGCATTGCCTGGTTTATCAGAACATACTTAGAACATACCTTGTTTTCATGAAAAAGAAATAGTACTCCAAAGCATGAAAGAAATAGTACTCCCTTGAATGTTTGATTATCTGTTTTATTTAAAATTTTTGTGTAAATATAAAAGTATTTATGTCATACTGAAACAATATTTGATGATAAATTACGTCATAATAAAATAAATTATAATTATATAATTTTTTTAATGAGACGAATGGTCAAATATTGGTTAAAAAATAAATGGCATTAAAATACAATACTGAGGGAGTATATTGCGAATATTGTCACACAGTTCATCCTGATCCTGTAGGAGTAATGGAGTATGCACAACACTTGTACCATTTAACACTCCAAATCTCCAATATGTAGTAAATTATTGCTCCTGATAATTCCTTCTTGGGAAAATACAATCATTTAGGCAAGATCATCGCATACGCGCTCCTCGTGTAAAATCCAAGTGTAAAATATTTGTTCACAATTATTACAAGGTATGCTTCTTCCATCTAGCTACCTCATTAAATTTCATCTTATTTTACCCCTAAACAACTCTCACTCGGCAGAGGTATCTTTAATTTAGAATCCTTTAATTCATCTTTTTGTTGGCGTATGGTGCGATAGCATTTATCTAAAAAAAAATATGACCATCCCACCAAGATATGTTATATATATTCACACAATAAATACCAGCTAAGATATGTCATATGTTTTCATACAATAGATAATGAAACGAAATCAAATATTTGGCAGTAATTTAATACTCATTACTCATGCAGCTGTATATAATACGTTTCTACAGCTACCTCTGCCTATAATAAACCACTCCGGTTAGTAGTCCAGTACTAAGATTGTAAGCCAAACAATCCACTTCACTCCACTCCAGTACTAAGATTGCAAGTCAAACAATCCACCATTAAAAGTGACCACCTCTCTTCTCCGAGTCCAACAAGATGAGACCATCATCCCTTGCTCTCGTCGTCATTGTAGCCACCGCCATCCTTACGTTGAGTGGCGCCGCACACGCGGACGTGCAAGGAACATGCAAGGCCGCGGCCGGCATCGACAGCCGCATCAGCTACAAGTTCTGTGTGTCCAAGCTGAGCAACCACCACCTCAGCCCAGACGCGGACACACGGGGCCTAGCCTTGATCGCGGCTAGTTTGGGCATCTCCAACGCGGAAGACACGGTCTTCGACATCAAGGGACTTGTAGCCAAGCCAGGCACCGGTGCCAAGGCGAAGCCGTTGCTTGCGCGGTGCCAGGAGCTGTACAACGAGATGTCCTTTGTGTTCGCCGAAGGATACGACTGTATCAACGCGCAAAGCTACGCTGCGGGGAAGGAGAAGGTGGGAGAGGCCATCCCCCTCGCGCGCCAGTGCGACGATGCCTTCGCCAAGGCCGCCGTCCCGTCGCCGCTGGTGCAGCGTAGCTGGTGCTCCGTGCAGATGTCGATCATCTGCACGGCCATAACCAACCTCATCAAGTGATCGACGTGTAGTTTGTATCGCAATAAAATTTTTTGGGTTACAAGATTGTTGTGATCAAATCTTGATTCGTTTTGTGATTTTGTAGAATCTTAGTACACATTGCTTGATTGATCATATATAATTAATGATTGCAGCAATTCGTTCTTTTGACTTCTCAGCCGTTACGATATCATTTGCGATTTATCGCTAAATAGTACGATTTATTGAGAGAGACATCAAGATTCTTGAATTGGCAACAGGAAGTTCACCAGGGTTTTTAGCATGAGCCACTACCTTTACAGATGACATACACCCTCTGATAATGATGTTTGAATATTTTGAGGGCCAACGGTCGTTTGATGCAACACTAGGCGTCAGACCGTACACCAACATTCCAACATATTACAGCCATTCCTCCTCTTCCTTTTCCCGTTGCCTATAAATATGCGAGCTTCAAATGATTTTGCTCACACGCTATTTATCTGAGCAGTGATTTTATATTCATTACTTTTAATTCTTCTTAACAAGATACCATATTTTGATTAAAAATATTTATGCTTTAACTATTAAAATTCAGTGTTTCATACTTGAGACTGAAATGTTTCAACTAGGATTTTAATGTATTTCCCACTTTTTGATGTTCCAGTAATTGAAACTCGATGCTTCATGTGTTAGAACGAAATATTTCAATTGTGATCTGACTATGTTTTACCATTTGATTTCACAAAATTTGTGAATGTTTCCAAAAGCAGTGACTTTTTTTTTATAGTTTTATGATTCTGGATGGCCTCTTTTAGAATTCTTTTGTAATACGGAAATTTTATATGATCTGATTCAATTCTTACATAATTCCCATAAAATCAGTCCATTATAAAGGAGGGGTAGAGTGCCAACTTTTGCTAGTCGATATCATAAAGTTTTAGAATGTCACTTTCCCCGCAATTTCCAGTCTTCAAAGTTGCAAGTGGTATTTTTTAATCACCCTTTTTAGAGTGGCATACATCAAATTTTGCTAATACTCAAGTATACTAAGTCCATTGAGTGGCAATCAGAACACAATGATACAAACTTTTGTTATGAGGGCAACCCCAACGTCTCATATTCCATTGATCACCGGCTTCTTCATTTCCCACACCGTCTAGTGGGAGACCTTGATTTCTATCTTTTCATGGTTGAAGATGAAAAGATGAGTACACTTGTCTATTGCAATCAAGGATTCGGATCCTCTGCAATTTGAACTGCTAATGCAAGGAACTACAATATTTTGCAGTAACACTAGAGCAGTCAGATTAAAAACAAACGGTTCAGACCAGCCAGGTACCGTGGCATCAATATTTTATTAGTCAGCTAGTACCACTGTTCATCACATTCTTAGTACTATCACATACGAGCAAATGTGGAGAACGTGTACCACTGTTCTTCCTAGATGAAATGTCAGTGTCTACGAACCTGCCAAATGTCCGCTTGTAAAAATTTGGGTCTGGTAAAAGACCTATATTGTACAAAACAAATGAACACAAATACGGAGTCAGTAAACTGAATGTTTTTTTTTGGGACTTCTGCATAGGTGTGCTATCGAGGAATGGACCCCGACAGCAGGGACCCGACGGGACCCCTTTTGTGATTTTGGCTGCAGAGCTAGTCGCGTGTGAGTGAGGGGCCTCAGGCCCCTCTACAGCGCTGTGACTGATGAACACAAGGAATTATACATGTTTAGATCACCCGGAGGTGTAATACCCTACACCTATTATGGTGTTTTTTTTTTGCTGTTTTATCTTTTAAGGATCTTACAAGTTTTGGCTACTCTGAATAGTTCATCTTCCTTTCTCTACTAGGTTTCCTAAGAATTTTAGTCTTTCCTTGGCCACCCAGGGTCCAACCTCCTCTCCCGGCTCCCCCCCTTATACTTCCTCTAGGAGTCACCACATGATAAAAATTTGAGGGAAGATTTTATTCATATCCCTATAAGGTACGATAAGTCTTGTTAGCAACTCCCCTTCTTGCCAGCTCTACCGGCCGCCTCAGGGCCAACCCTACGAGCCTGCTATGAGTTGGAGATGATGAGAGCTTGCCACGCGATGCAACGAAAGCCATTGAGGCCTCAGGGCAGCCATGAGCGGGGGCTACACCGATGGGGTGCAGCGGAAGCCTGCCATGCACCCCCGCTCAACCCACTCATGCACCACACCTAGTTGGCTATAGGGTCTCCAGTAATTGCCTGGTGGAAGGCAGTTAATGGGGTAAGCCTAGGTATGGGTGCGATAATGAACCATGCCCTCTAGTTTCTCATGCCCATGTCGAGCTTGACTCAAGTGAAGTGATGGGAGGCAGCTACTGTATGTTTTGCTCTGTCTTTCATGCTTCCTACTCTAGGCAGATAACCGTCCCATCGAACATAAATAGGGCAAGGCTAGGGGCCCGAGGCTAGCCTGAGTGTACGGTTTAGATTTTAAATAAGGACTCCACTCGTTGGGGGTGCTCCGAGGTTTGCATCCCTCTTGCTTTGAGATGGGGGATGTGCCACCCTCACTTTAATCCTGAGCGTATATCATGAGTAGGATAAGGTGACACGTGGCATCTTCATGATGCGCCTACTGCCCGGGAGACCCAAGATGGATAAGGCGACACACGGGACTTGGCATCTTCATGATGCGCCTACTGCCCGGGGGGACCCCGGTTGTTGGGTCATTGACACGTGCTTAGTGTGCAAGGGCAGATTTATCGTATAAACTGTAGGGGTGAAGGACCCCCATCAAAATTGGACCCCATCAAAATTTACCTCCTAATGTATAACCCTAGTTGTATGACCTATGGCCCTCCACCCCAACTAGAAAAAAAAAAGACCGCACTCCCCTTGGTCTTTGTTCCTTCCATTGCACGCCCTGCGTGGGCGCAAGTGGGGGTCTTGACCTCAGTCAAAATTTCCTACTAATGTATACCCCTCGTTATATGTCCTATGGGCCACCAATCCAACTAGGAAGGACCCTACTCCCATTGTTTTCGTTCAATCTATCATCACAACGGTTCCACAATTTACTTGCTTTTATATGTTGATGATATTGTTTTGACGACTTCGTCTTTAGCCACTCTTATTGTGTCATGTTTGCTCTCCAGCAATGGTTCTTAAGGAAGCATCTTGGTCGGTTGCATCATTTTTTGTAGGATGTCCCTCTCGGGAAGTTGTTGTTAATAGTGTTGGTAGCATGGCACCCCTACTGGCCCAAGCCCAATTAGATTAAAGCAAAAATACAACTTCTTTCTTGCCCCTGTGGCCTCAATGACTCGCTGTCCCCGTCCTTATTGAGTCATTTCTTAAGCCGTCAATCACTTATTACTTATCAGTCGCAAGCACCTACGCGGCTCCCTTGTGGTAAGGCCTTGCTCAGACCGTAGACCTCTTCTTAGCTGCCCCTCCCTTTCTCTCCAATGCAAGTCCAGTTCTGGACTTCTTTGGCCCTCATGTCCTTATTAGAAGGAAGTGCGCTGCGCGTGGTCGGTGGGAGAGGATTAACGAAACTCCCCATTTTAAGTAGCATTAGATACATAAATGTCACTACTACGATTGGTTTGATTCAATGCACACCTCGAATTTAGGGTATATATACTTCTTCCATCTCAAAATTTATTTTGTATACTTCTTTTACATGGTCTCTATAGAACATTGGCCATTGATTTTGTCCTACACAATATATTAAAAACTACAAAAATTAACATTTTATAGTACTTCCAAGTACAAGCATAATAATGTCACATGCATGAAACCAAATATATATCTCGGAAGTTTAATTTAATTACTAGTCAAAAGCTATAAATGTTGACTTTCCTTGAAACAAAGCCTTATAATATGGGATGGAAGGAGTATGAGCATAATCTTTGTAGAGGATATATCCGATGAAAACAAGCCAAGTGTTAGAAACTCATGAAAATTATACCTAAAAGTTTTGTAAATTCATGAAAAATTACTAAAGGTGTAAATATGAAATACATTCTCACCAAATCTCAAGTTCAAACTCAACTTTATTTGGGTATAACAAAAAAGGATAAATTTTGGATGAATAGTAACATGACACTATTCACTTGAAATTTGTCAATTTTGTTTATCTCATATGAAGTTGAGTTTGGACTTATAATTATGTGATAATGTATTTCATATCTACACTTATCTCTAGTAATTTTTTCATGAATTCAGTCTTTAGGATTATTTTGAAAATTTTTGAATCCTACTAAATTTATTTGTAAAGATAAATTCTTCGAAAACATAATTTTAGATATGAGGTTTTTTCCCGCAATTTGTATCAATCCTGTAAGATTAAAACCGTCTACTTTCAAACTAAATCCACCTTTGCAGGCCTTTGACAATTTTTGTCACACAAGCAGCAGTGTTCCTTAATTGAATAAGTTCATCCGAGGTCCCTTAACTTCACACCGGATTCGATTTTCATCCTTGAACCATAAAACCAGGTATAATCGGCCCCTGAAGTATCAAAACCAGTGCAAACGAGGTCCCTCGACGATTTGGAAAGCAGTTTTAGCTGACATGGCGCTTACATGGCTGTTTTGACTAGTTCTTTGTCCCACGTGGCATTGGCGTGGCTCTTACGTGGCAATTTGATCTGAAAAATAAAAAAACCCGTGGGCCCACATGTCAGCTACACAAAGAATAATATAAAAATGGTGGGCCCCACATGTCATTCTCTCTCCCATCCTATTCTCTCCACTCTCTTCTCCTCTCTTCAAGCGCGAGATGGGCAGGGGCAGGGCGGCGTCATTGTCGGCGACAGGAAGAAGGGTGAAGGGCAAGATGCCCCTCGGCATGGAGGACAGCCACATCGCAGAGTTCCATCGCCTGGAGGACGGCAATGAGGTTGGCCTCTTCGTCGTGTTCAACGGCCTCTCCGACGCCGACGTCGCCACCTACCTCGGCGAGCACCTTTCCACCCTCCTCCGCGAACAGGGCTTCGGGACCGATACCATGGACGCCATCCGCCGCGCCTACCACCGCACAGACTGGAAGGTGCTAAGGACGACGACGGAGGAGGGTGACAGCGAGGAGCGGAGCGGGCGCCACAGCGGATCGACAGTTGCTCGTGGACCAAGAGCCGCTCCAGGAGCACGGCGCGAGCGCCGCTGCGGATTCGTGACGGAGATGCATGGCGATATGCCCCGCGTGGACGCGCAGCTGGCGATGTCGCGCGCATTCGGCGACCGGTAAATCAAGGAGCACATCAGCTCCGCCCCGGATGTGACCATAGAGGACGGCGGCGGCCGCGATGGCACCCTGGATCCTCTCCCATCGCGTCTTCTCCAGCCGCGTCCTATCCCCTCCGAGTGGCGGCGGCTGCGCTGTCACCGAGCGCGAGGTGGGCTGGTCGGCGGGCCAAGCGTAGATCCGGAGGTGAGGAGGACGAGGACGAAGACGCCGCGCAACCAAACCACCGCCGCCTCCTCTCCCCTCTTCCCCCATGCCACAACGGCAGTTGAGGACGCCGTAGGAGAGCGACGCAGCTGCTCCTCGTCGTCTCGTCGGCCACCCACCGCCGAAGATGTGCGTGCGCGCCAGCCACAAGGACCTCATCACATGCGTCCTCGGCCGGAGCTCCGGGTTCAGGTGGTGGCGCAGGCGCGAGCGGTGGCCGGAATCCCTTGGGGAGCGCCGCCGCCGCAAGAGGGAGAAGAGGCGAGAGGAGAGATGGCCGGTAGAGAGGGGAGGAGGAGGTAGCAGTATTAGGAGATAGAGAGAAGGGTGGGACCCACTATTTTTATTTTTTTTGTCTGGCTGACATGTGGGCCCCACATTTTTTAATAAAAAACTAAAGTTTATATTTTGTTTCCATCGCCACGTCACCGCCACGTAGGATGCAGACCAAGTCAAACTAGCCACGTAGGTGCCACGTCAGCTAAAACCTCACTCCAAACCGCCTTTGGACCTTATTTAGAAAGTTGAGAGACGTGTTATATACGGTATTACGGTTTGGTGATGAATTTTAAACTCGCTGACAAATTGAGGGACCTATTGTGAACTTACTCCTTCCTTTAATCTAGTTAGGGCGCTAGATTTTAATGCAATACATGTGTATTATTGGGCCCCCAATATATGAGGAAACCGTGGGCCAAAACGGTGGGAGCAAACCCATCTTTGCAGGCCTTGAAAGGCCGCTGTTGCCTTGACTTGTATGATGAACAAATCACATTTTTTAAAGGCCTATTTCCAGTCGGTTTGGTAATGTTGTTTATAAGCCCACCATGACAGCACCAAACCAATGCACCCAGATCCATCCGTCTGGTAGGGTAACTATAAATGGCCAATGGGTTAGCTTTCATTTTCACTGCATTTTCTATATATTACAATCTAACTAACAAATTAGTCGTAATTCAGAAAATAAACACATTAATTAGAAAAAAATGACTGAATTGTAATGGCGCATGGTCTAGATTGAAAGAAGAATCAATGCCATGTAATTGGTGATTATTAATTTCGAATTTAATAAGTTCTAAATTAAGATAATTGTAACGCTAAATCATGCTCAACACGTGCTATAATATATCACCCACACCGAGCAAAAAATTACCCAAGGGTATATCCCCTACAAAAATATAGGATACACTAAATACATTTTTTTTTACTTATGCGTAGTACTGGAGCATTCGGTAAGGTATATAACATATTGGGTGTGTTACGACATATAATGTCAGGGTTATGGATACCGCATACCCAATATAGTAATCGACTAAACTCGACGGAGCCCACCGTATACCAAGTCTTATACAGAACCATACCTCATATATATAAGGAGTTCCGAATAAGAAATGACAAGAATAATTCTACATGAAAACAACAAGTACTACTTAGATTGTATACATATTGATCTTCCTAATTTTACTTGGACAAGAGAACATCTATGGATATAAATACAAGCCCCCTAGGAGGAGAGGAGACAAATAAACAAGCCACAAGCCACAACATATACACAAGCCAAGATACACCGCCAGATATCGACATCAGAGATTAGCCTAGACAAACCCAATCCGGTGCCTACGAAAGCCGGCAAGAGGGATCTAGCGCCATCTCTGATCTCAACGAGTTCATATTCGGGGAGGAAGACTACTCTGTCGTCGACTACGAGTTGGTTATCCATGCCGCCAAGTCGATGACAATTAGATAGGTTATCCAAATCATTGTATTTGTGTAATTCGGATGAATAAAGAGCAACACCGGCTTCGACCAACAGAAGTAGGGCTATTACCTGTCAAACAAGGGCCAGAACCTGTATAAAAATCCTTGCCTCCATCTTTTTACTTCAATCTCGCATATACACTGGTACCAACGATCCTCATATCGTGCGAAGTACTATAGTCACGATCTCAAACATTGACCCCATTTTTTTACTTAGCGTAGTACTGGTGCATTCGGTAAGGTATATAACATATTGGGTGTGTTACGACATATAGTTCTAATTAAGCGAATATTGAACCCAAATATTCAACAAGAGTAAGACCTATATTCAAGAAAGAGTACGACTTATATTAATTAATTTGTGTTCCAGAATTATTAAATCATAAATTGTCGTAATTGAGAATCTAAGTTGAGTTGCAGCTTTGTATTCAACAATTCAAATTAAATTAAATAAATGCTGAAATTGAGACTCAAAGACTACATTAAGGTGTTTATTATATATGAATTTAGGATTAATAAATTATCTAATTCCGAGCCTACGATTACTTCCTATTTATCATGTTATAGTTTTGGAACTATTTAATGAAGAAAAATAAATTAAGATTCCATGACAATTGCAAATTTATTATATTAATTCTGAATTTAAAAACATTAAAATGATAATAATAAAAAATAACAAAAATATTTTCATGGATCATATGCAATTTAGAAGCTATTTATATATGGACAAATATAGTCGTAATTACTAATTTCAAATTCTTTTTTTTAAATATAGTACAAACACGTGCATTCACGTACACTTACCACTGTCAATTTTGCAACACTATCAGTAAGTCAGTAAGTAAACCAATAGTTTACTTCGTACTCCCTTCGTCCCTAAATATAAAGATTTTTAGTTGAATATGACATATTCTAATACAATAAATTTGGACATGAAACATTTAGAGATGGAGGAAGTATTTGCTAGGAAGTATTCGTTGTATTAGGATGTACATCCAACCAAAATCCCTTATATTTAGGGATGGAGGAAATTTTTACTTATACTCAACTCCAAAACGCAAACATAGATGCACAATTCTGTTGGGGTTTTCACTGCAAAAGAAGAATCCAGATCAATCACCAAACTACAACCACTATAACGGAAGTGCATGCCGGTCCAATTGCTCCCAAATCGTATCAAAAATCCAAATCACCAAAAAATCAATACAACAACAAGACAAAACGTGCTAGAAGAAGGCAAAACCTTCAGAAAAGCCTCACATCACACCTGCACCTCTGCACTGAATTGATAGTTCAGACCGTCATCAGAGCCTCAGACTTGCACAAGTCCATATCCATTATTTGCTCCACTTAATTCATATCGTATCATCACCAAGCGCATGAAAAAAATATGCATCCATTGCCACTGCTTGCCACAACACAAATCCCGATCGAGCTGTCCTTTGATCCGTCCACTTCGATCGTATCATCACCAAGTGCAATATATAGTGCATGAAAAATGCATATCCATGCCACAGCACAATCCCGACCGACCTGCACACGCTGTTCTCCTCAGTCTTCGCGAGCTCGATCGATCGATCACCCTCCACTCAAATGGACCAGCCACAGCCACCACTGTGACACTGTCCTAGTGTCCTCTATCTCTGTGTGAGTGGCTGACTGATCTCCATGGAAGAATCTTTTCCCTTCCTATGTACACCACCTGCAGAGAGAAAACGTATGTACCAAAAACTAATGGAGAGATCGGTCGAGAGAGATCGATCAGAGCGTCTCCAGCTACTACGTACGTACAAAGCTCTCATAGTGGCAGTCCATTTTCAGTCCACGAAAATGAGCAATTTTCGTTGGTGCGATTCTCTCTTTCTCGATTATTCATGTATAGATGTCACGCGCGTGTCCGTTACCTGCAGCTTCAATTAATTCGAGCGGTTCTGACTCCATTAATTCGTTTTTGTGGGTGGCGTGATCTGTCTGTCACTGTGGGAATGACACTGCCAGGCAGTTTGGCGCCATGACAAAAAGTCTTTGGCTGTGATGAGATGAAACGTTACTTTTTCAGAAGTGCATATACTCTCTCTCTTCGTAAATATTCCACGCCGTTGACTTTTTTTAAATATATTTGACCGTTCGTCTTATTCAAAAATTTAAGTAATTATTAATTCTTTTCTTATCATTTGATTCATTGTTAAATATACTTATATATATATAAATAATTTTACATATTTTACAAAAGATTTTAATAAGACGAATGGTCAAACATATTTAAAAAGTCAACGACGTCAAATATTAGGGAAGGAGAACGAGGGAGTATTTTCAATGATTTTTTTATGTGGATTGGATTGCTGCTTATGCGCGACGCCGCAAGCAAGCGTGCGCTTCCAACGCTGGTATGACAATTGACAAGGCAAATTAAAATGACAGGGAAATTAGAGGGCAGCTCAAATATCGTTTTCACCGAGGGGTTATAAGTGATTTCTATGGCGTGTGACACGTTTCACGGAGACGTATCGTAATATTTGGGTTAACTCAACGACTTCAGGATTTGTGGGTAAGGACTAAGGACAAGATCAAGGCAAATGTGTGAGGATCTCTTTAAGGACTAATGACTAAGATGACCAATTGCAGGGGATTGAGATGCGTAAGCAATATTGGGTTTGTTTGTCTCAAAAAAAAGTTTATTAATTCAATCTATACTGACAAGAAACAAGTACTAGTCTGTACGATCGTGTTTTTTTTAAGCACTAGAGTCACCACTCGATTATTTCTGATAGAAAAGTTTGGCAAATAATTTCTCTCTGCTTGCATTGCACTCGTGTTCAGTCGTAATACATGGGCATCGGGACGTTACCCTGCAAAATGTGAAACTGTATAAGCCGAAATAATCGACGAAAGTAAGCATTGGCCATAAACATATCTAAAACCAGCTAATCTATTCGTGGTCTCCATGGAAAAATGTACTCTGACTGAATTGTCAATCTTGGGCCGACTATTCGTTCGCTTTACAGTTCAATTCAGAGATTATTCAATTAGCAAAATCTGACTGAAACTTCGGTTGAAACAGGTAGTAGTACTAGCAAAATCTAACTGAAATTTCAGTTGAAGTCGGCAGCCGCCACGCCTGACTTCAATTGTGCCCTTCAAATCTTCAATGCACACCCTTCAATTGATTGCTTAATTGATAGGGTAACTGTTCTTCAGCTGATAAGTGATACTGCACTGCACGTGTTTTGCTGTGAAGTTGTACGTCTTCATTTTTGTTGACTTTCGAGAGAGATTCCTGTTCATATGCGTTAAATAAACCAGTTTTGCTTGACTGATACGTTAACTAATTGATATTTATATCTAAGCAGTTTCTGATCAGTATCCGTCCAAATTTGATTATGACAAAAAAGGAACAATATTGGAAGGGCCGTTGATATATATTAATTCAACATGACAATTATTTGCACGTTTATATTATCCTGATCCCAATATCAGCCACTTGTATGTATCTTACTCTGCAATTATGCCCGTTCTAAAGTACACCCTGGAGC